GTCCGCGCGTGCTCAGTGGTCATCAGTTGCCGGAAGTTTGTGAAAGACTGCTGTAGGAGATGGTACGCCGAAAAAGTATATGCTTCTATATGGAACTGTTCTTGTCCTTATTGTGATGATGATTATTAAACTTATTGTTACCACACTTAGGGAATGTTATGCTTCACAGTTAAGCACGTCCGGTTTGAAATGTATTATAGATTTTATGGATGATATTTATTAAATTCATATCGACACAAGACTGTTTCCAATAGCTGGAGCTTTGTGTAGGACGACCTGCTTCGGCATATGAGTGCCATCTTCAGGTTCGGTCTTTAGTTACAATTATTTTATCACGTACTTAGGGCAAAGTTTCATGTAAGCCGCGTGGATCCACCGGTATTATACACCATACATCCTAACTTCATGAGATGAGTCCTTCTTGGGAAGCCGTCAGTTGTGCAGCTACTCAAGAACTTCCCAGCTTTTATGGAACCCGAAGGTTCTTTACCGTGTTCACAAGAACCCTCCACTGGTCCCTATCCTGAGCCAGATCAATCCAATCCATACCATCACATCCTATCTCTCTAAGGTTCATTTTAATATTGTCCACCCACCTACGCCTTGGTCTTCCCTGTGGTCTCTTTCATTCTGGCTTTCCCACCAATTTTCTCCATGCAATCCTATTCGCCTCATTCATTCTACATGCTCTTCTCAACCAATCCTTGACTCGATCATTCTACAAAGTAGATAACTTTCAGTCCTGTATGACATACAGGTTTACAACACTTCTGTCTTCATTCGCCTTACATGTTTCGATTCAAAAGAATCATCTTCAGAGGCGCACCACTACGAGCAGGAAACACTGTCACATAAGATGTTTTAACATTATGCACTTAGGTGATGAATAGTGCTCACTATATCACAGTTTGCCCTATGCAGCCACGTTGACGTGTAGATTTACGTATGATGTTTTGTTTAAGCGTATTTGATGGGTATTCGATTGGGGTTTCCCACTGCACGCAATGTGATGTTCACTTTTCCATAAAATAGCTTCCCTATGTATTTAAAATTGTATTAAAAATCTTTTGTATGTAAAAAATTAGTTATTATGTTAAAACTCGTGAACCAGCATTGGGTCATGTTTTTGCTTCCGGATGGTAGAAGATGTCGATTGTTGTTGTCTTGGTTGTATGTTCTTATTGTTAGTTGTGTAGTTCACTTACGTGCAGTGTCGTATGTACTGTTTGTACAATTTTTAATACAATTTTAAATACATAGGGAAGCTATTTTATGGAAAAGTGAACATCACATTGCGTGCAGTGGGAAACCCCAATCGAATACCCAGCAAATACGCTTAAACAAAACATCATACGTAAATCTACACGTCAACGTGGCTGCATAGGGCAAACTGTGATATAGTGAGCACTATTCATAACCTAAGTGCATAATGTTAAAACATCTTATGTGACAGTGTTTCCTGCTCGTAGTGGTGCGCCTCTGAAGATGATTCTTTTGAATCGAAACATGTAAGGCGAATAAAGACTGAAGTGTTGTAAACCTGTATGTCATACAGGACTGAAAGTTATCTACTTTGTAACTGATAGTGTGACGGACCAGAATGAGACAAATCAAAATCGATCATTCTAATTATACTTGGAGAAGAGTACAAGTTATGAAGTTTCTCATTATGCAGTTTTCTCCAACCTCCTGTCACTTCATCTCTCTTCGGTCCAAATATTCTCAACACCCTGTTCTCAAATACCCTCAGTCTGTGTTCCTCCCTTAATGTCAGAGACCAAGTTTCATACTCATACAGAACCACAGCCGGATTATAGTTTTTTATATTGTAATACACTATATTATATACTATCTGTAGAAATGCAATGGTTTTATGTCTATTGTTTAGCATTGTGGTTATTTTGCTGAAGTTGTAGACATTGAATGTGAGTGTGCGGCACTGAACATAGTCTGTCTGTACACTTCACNTTCCCCCCCCCCCCATACAACAGGCTACAACATGACATGAGTTTGTGACACGTATGCTCACGCATTACATTAAAACTGTTGGAGCTCAACAACTGTAAACTCAGTGGTCTCGTAAGGTAAAAAAAGGGTAAAGCTATCCCTGTAAGAGGCTGTGGAGGCCCATACGGTTGTGAGACGTCGATGCTGCCACGTTTTTTTGACAAGCGACTCACAGATGGCGGTGAGGTTGTCAGCCCTAAGCACCGCCCGCCCTTTACCACCAGGAAGATTCCTGGTACCCATTTCTATCGAAGGTTCAGTTGACCGCAGGGCCATAGTGCTGCTGGAAATTAAAAAATGCAATGACCTCTTCGGTAATCGAACCCGCAACCTTCCGGCTTGTGCATAGTGCCTCAACCAACTACGCTGTCATTACTTTTTCATGGCTTTCATAGAGAGAATGCACTTCCCACATTATGTACGAAGTGGTGCACACATGGGCTTGTACACTCTGCTTTTGCTACAGACTGAGGATGTTTGAGAGCAGAATGCTGGGGAAACCATTTTGAGTTAACAGGAAAGAAGCAACGGGAGTCTTGAGAAAATTTCTTAGGTGCAAAGTTTCATAATTTATAATGTAGTGGTTTGAGGCATTATGCTACAAGCCGGAAGGTCGCGGGTTCGATTACCGATGAGATCATTGATTGTTTTTCAATTTACGTAATTCTTCCAGCCTCAGTTTGGCCCGGGGTCGACCCAGGCTCTAACAGAAATGAGTATCAGCAATGTTCCTGGGGGTAAAGGGCGGCCGGTGCATAAGGCTGAAAACCCCACCGCCATCTGTGAGCCGATTGTCTAGAAAATGTGGGAGCCTCGACGTCTCACAACCCTATGGGCCTTCATGGCCTCTTACAGGGATAATTTCACTGTTCATTTTTACTTTTCTACCAAGCATTGACAGGCTGATCAAGTAAAGGAAAATGGGAGGGGTGTGATCTGAAGTACGTATGGGAGAGGTGAGAAATACACTCAGAGTTAGCCGGAAATCCTTAAGTAAATGGGCTAATTTAGAGATATAGATGTAGATGGAATACGTTGTTTTAAATTGTTCCTCGGGAAGTAAGGAGTGACCATTTGAATTGCATTCTTCTCACCCAGGATAGCGTCCAGTGGTGAGGCCGTTGTGAATAAATTAATGAAAACTCTTGAGCTTTTTAAAATACGTGGAATTTCTTGACTAGCTGAGAAAACATTAGCTTCTTAAGAATGGTTTTGCTCCTTGCAGTCAAGTTAGTTACTAGGATTCGCGATACGTCATAACCTGAGTCGTGCAGCATGAGCAGACATGAACTTTACTATTTAGGAAACTTATTGTGAAAGAGCCAGGCAAGATACAGCATCTGAATATTGAAACATTAAATTGCAACTGTCAAAGTTTATTTTACCGTTTAGTGGTGTTCGACATAGCTCTGCACATGTCAAGTTAGCACTCCAGTTCCATCCACATATTTTGCAGAAAAAAAATAACTTTTACTTCATACAAACAGCCTGTCTCACAGAACCTTAATGCATAAATGGATGGCTTAAAAGTTGGAACCATTCCAAATTCCGTCTTATACCGTATTTGGAATCGTTTCATACATCTGATTTTATTAAACCACAGGACACGCCCGGCTTTTTGCAGATGTGCCGCCATTTTCTTGACTGCAGTGTCCCTGGTCTCAAAACAATCGAACTTCATGTGCACATATGATTTGAGGTTTTCACGGCGGTGACTATGAAGAAAGCATCTTCGGGGATGTGGCACCGTGTAGATGTGGTGTTAGCCGACGTTCCTCCGAAACGTCGGTTAACACCGGATCTACACCGTGCCACATCCAAGAAGACTGCTTTCTTCATGTGCACGCTTTGATCCAGTACTTTGGCAGTTATAAACTAATGTCCGAAAGTTTGTAAATTGCAAAGATCACATCCGCTCACCCCGCTCGGTGTATGAACAACTCAGAGATCATTATAACAGACTTCGAGTCTGAAACAATTTGAGTTTGAAACAATTCAAAATAGACTTCGAGTTGTTTAACGGGAAGGAACCTGGAAGTTAATTACCTTGTTCGCAAAAGCCCATCTCAGTCAAGTTAGGCTCTTACGAATTTTTTTTCTCTGAGAAAATTTCAGAAACATTTGTTTTTCTGTTTACTGTCTAAAACAGCAGACATTAAAATATGTACAAAAACTACAGTCCTTTGTGCCGTTCTGTGTGCGCATTAAACTCAGTCACTCACATGAAGAGGTAGAGAATAGACCGGGGTCTAGGAGAACAGGGCGCTGAGGAGATTGTTTATGTTCAAGTGGAAGTAACGGGAGTGTAAAGAAAATTGCATAATGTGGAACTATGTAATTCGCACTCCTCGCCAGATATAAGTAGGATGCTCAAATCAAAACTACGAGATGGTTAGGTAATGTAGAAAGCATGGAGAGAACAGAAATGCATTCATGTTTTTTGTTAGGAAATCTGAACGAAAGCGTGCAATCTGAAAAAATACAAGGCGTAGACGAGAGTGTAATTTAAAAATTAATTTTAAAGCAATAGTAAGGGAGCCTATAACTGTAGCCATCTTGCTCAGCGTCGGGACCTGTGGCCCATTTATTCTGAACACGATAACAAATCTTTGAGTACCATAATATGCTGACGAATCACCCAGGGCAGGATACAATAGGCCAATCAGTGGCCGCCGTGCCGAGTGGACTCAGTTGGACTCCCCCCCCCACTAAGCGAATTTAAAAAAAGTAATATGCCGACGAACAATTAGCTTTTTAAGTATCACTCAGATCTATGCGATTGGTTATAAACTCTTAATATTTTCCTAAGCTTTCCAACTGATCTCCTTTGAGGATTCCGTGTAAAATATAGGATGTATTTCCCATTTCCCGCGCATGCTACATGCCTCCTCATACATTCCTCTTACATATAAATGCCGTAACTATGCATGCAAGTGTAATTTCGGGAACACTGTTAGTTGCGAGTGTGGTGCCATGCAAGTAATACTGCTCACCCGATGGCGCCGTTGGACAGAGCCTGGGTGTGCTTGTTGAGGGCTTCCTGTATGCTTTCGGGCGAGTACAGCTTGATGGGTGAATTGAACTGCTTGTTCACAAGATTTGGCGTTATCCCCCGCCTTAGAGACATCTTGTTTGACCTGCATGCACAACAGAATCAATACATATTGAGGTTCGAACTATGTATCCAGCTACGGCTCTACAGCCCTTTGTTGGGCCTTAGCCTCTTCTCCAGTTCCATAATCTTTTTTACGCAGAAGGCAGGACTCCTTGGACGAACGATTAGCCCTTCGCAAGTCCGCTACCTATACAACTCAAACAGAATAAACGCACTCATAGGCATCAATGCCTTGAGTGGGATTCGAATCCATGATCCCAGCGTTCGAGTGAGCGAAGACGGCGCGGCCGCTGTGATCGGCAGGCTGGAGCTACACAGAAAGGAAAACGATCAAATAACCTGGTGAGTTGCAGCACTCGCAACGCACAATAAATGCCACAGAGTAAATTACGAGTAAAACCGAGCAAGTTAACAGTGACACAACATCTGGCTTTTAGACAGAGAACCAGGTTATTGGGGTTTTTTGTCTTTGTCCATCGTCTAGCATTCTAAATAACACTAAAGAACACAAAGTCTCAGAATCTGGATGTTTCCGTCAACAAAGGTGTGGGTGGGGGGCAGTTACTCTGTTGAGTCCGTTACAAAGAGCTAACCACCAGGACGGGCCTAGTTAGCTCTTTGTAACGGACCCAGCAGAGTACCTGTCTCCCACCTCCTCATCTGAGGACGGAAACATCCAGATTCCGGCTTCACAAACTCTGATTCCTTTAATGTTCTTTAGAATAATACCGGACGGTGGACATAGACCAAAACCCCAGTAATTCCGAGGAGCAAACACCACTATCAGAGCCCTTTAGAATCTAAAGAGCCAGGTTCTCCTGGAATGTGACACAGTATAGTCTGGTAGATACAGTAGAACTTGGTTATAACGTCATCAAAGGGACCTAAAAATAGTGTCGTTATAAACGAATGTCGTTGTAACCGAAATGGGCACTTCCACAGTAGTCACGTAAAAATCACGTTAAAATGTTGGATTTTTTAGTGAAATACGTAGTTATGTACAGACTAACGTAACATTAACGTGGAATTACCCAAATGTGTAATATCAAAGACATATTACAGCGCTTTTCAATGACAATATACACCGCTCTAATACTGTATATTAAAGGTAGGCCTACTCACCAAATTACAGTAGATTACATCAATTGTTGTGCCTTACTGTACCTAGATACGAGTACAGTAATCAGTTATCTTCATCTGTTTCCTGTTACTTGTCCAATACACACTTTCTAAATTACGTTCAATGTCCATATCAGAGAAATTCAGGAATGAAAATGACGTTACATACGAGGTTGATGCATTTGTGCATGTCGTACTAAGCAAGGTATAAAAACAGTTGCTTTATGAGGAATTAGTTCGTACCATTGAATATTTGACGCAATAGACAAGGTGTCGCAGAAACCGACGTTGCTATAACCAAGTTTTACTGTAGTTCCAGAGGTTTCTGAAGAACCTGCTGTTTCCATCTTTCCTATAGAAGAGTAAGCCAAGCAGAACATTTTCGACTGGCCTTCCAGCCTACAGATTCATTCTTGACTTAGAACACCATTAGGACTTCTCATTTATCTTTGGTGTGTTTGTTGTTGGGGGCCTCCTCTTTCACAAGAGGGGAGGTTTGGTATGTCACCTAAAGTCGGTGGTTATTCTGTCGCACAGCAATAGCATAGGACTTCTGCGCTCGTAAAACGTCCGGTAATACTCATGTACGCTATACACACTTGATCACTAAGCTATAAAATATGCAGGGGTACGCGGTAGCGTAGTTGGTTGAGACACTATGCTACAAGCCGGAAGGTCGCGAGTTAAATTCCGGATGAGGTCATTGGATGTTTTCAATTGACCTAATCCTTTCAGCCGCACTCTATAACTCCAGGGTGGACTCAGCCTCTAATAGAAATGAGTACCAGAAATCTTCCTGGGGGTAAAGGGCGGCTGTCGACCTCACCGCCGTTTGTGAGCTGATTGTCTAGAAAATGTTTGAACCTCGACATCTTAACTCTATGGACCTCCACGCACCATAAGGAAAGCTTTAATTTCTTTCATAAAGTAAAAACAAGTAAAGCTATCCCTGTACCAGGCCGTGAAGACCCATAGGGTTGTGAGACGTTGAGGGTCCCACATTATCTAGACAATGGGCTCAAAGCTGGCGATAAGGTTGTCAGTCTTACGCGCCGGGCGCGCTTTACTTCCCAGGAAAATTATTTAATTAATTCCTGGTACTCATTTCTGTCAGAGGCTGAGTAAACCCTAGGGCCTAGTGCGGTTGGAAGCATGCATAGCATAGCAATAAATTACTGCTGGTCCTCGCCAACACAGTTATTCTTAGCTTTGGATCCTGTAGGGACTCGTGACCAAAAGCTAACAATATGTCAAAGTCAAAGTCAAAGTCATGTTGCGACTGATGTAATGAATTTGGGTTTTTGTCGTGTGATAGGATGTTGTTTCACACGCACACTCAGGATGTTAGGAGTGTATTATCACTTCTATTAACGTGATAGATAGCGTGATTAGATGCCACCAAGTAACAAGGTCTGGGTTACTGCCAGGTACGGTGTTGATGTACTGCTTTGAACAGGTAAGTTGAGCTGGCCAGCTGTGATATTGTCGAACTCTGCCTGTTGAAGTCGTGTAGCTGGCGTGAACAGAAGCGTTGGAAGCGCGCAGCTGGGCAAGACCCCTCGAGATCTTGGATGCATGAAATCAAGTAGACTATGCGAACTTGTATGCCGAAATCAAACACTTTACTAGATCAAGACATTACGAAAGAATACAGTTCGGGAATCAAACCCCTGACTCCACGAGAGCGGTACGCTCTCTGACGTAACTTATGTCACAACAGTTTAGTAGTATGTACTTTCATCTCTTCAAACCTTAAAGCTTCAGTCCTTATATACCATAGCCTTCGGGCGTGGCAAAATCATGGTTCAAACACGTGATATTAGGCCCCCGGGCAAGCTCTGTTACCTTATATGGTCAGCTTCGTCTCTGTAGGCCTTAGATATTTCTCAAAATTATAACGTCACTCTTGGGGCCGTGTGCATAGCGTATGACTTAATTTTGCTATTGCAAAATAACTGTTCTTGTTGTGACAGTCCAAATCTTTTACATCTCTTCAAGGGACGCTATGGTCCTCTTTAGCCATTTCAGTAGAGTGACTGATTTATTGGGGAGACCGATTCATTAGCATGTTATGACTTGCTTTTCGCATCTGGACAGAAACAACTGCCTTGTTTTGTTTCCTGCAGTTTGGGTGACCGGAAAGGGGACGAGGCCACCACGGGAGGCAAGTCTGTAGTTTGCCGAAGATGTAAATTTTGTTTTGCTGATAGTGTAGCTGTTATAAAAGTGTCTTCGGAAGGGTGTAATTGGACCTTGAACTAAGAAATAACCGCTTTCACATGTGGGGTTCCCCGGTTCTATATCTTTGGATCTCTTTATTCTCGAAGTTCGTTATGTGATTGTCTAGGGCTGATTGCATGATGGATTTGGCCAGTTAAAATCAGCCAACAGGAAACTCGTCTTGTCTGGGAGAGAGGCCGTCGACTCAAATCTTATACAAGGGATGAAGCGACGCTCCCGCAGGATAGAGTTTGCAGAAGGACTTGGCATTTTGAATTCATCGGGGCCAGACGTCATTGGGCTGCACTCTCCAAGTTTATCTAAATTTATCAGTCTTTATTTGATTTATTCATCTTTGATAGTAATAAAAGGGCACATTACTCCGTACTTGCTAATGAAGTTATAGTATTTCGCTTCTGAATAAGCAATCTGTGGAGAGCAGAAATAGCGTCGTTGATTTCTAGCAGTGGACTGGCTTTAAATGTGCAGTTTCGCTGTTGCCTCAGTTACTACCGTAACACGATCCTGATAAGAGTCAAGTGATTTACCGAAGCCGACAAATAAATACAAATATAGAAAGGGGACGGTTACAATGTTAGGGTTATTATGCAGCTTTGTGGTATAATCGAAGAGCATCTCACAATGTTTCATGGCCTGTTAACTTAATAAGTCGTAATTAAACTTCATAAAACCTAAAATATAATTACATCATTTATCAGTTTAGCGTAACCTCATTACACTGACGGTCAGTCAGTCTGTCTTGGTGTCCAGCCCATTTAAGTGAAAGTTACTGTCCTGTCCATGTGAGACGCCCTCTCTGATGAGAGGTCCGGTATTTCATTTGTCAGTCATAGTCGATAGTATTAGTTCATTGTCACTATGTACACTTACAATTGTGTCTTAAATATCTAGTATGTATAATACTGTCACGTGTTGGGTGTATAACGCGACAAATAACTTCACGCCTTATTCGATATAGCTAATTTATTGCACATTCGCTCTTACAATCGCAAATTTACAATCTCACAGCTACTGCTATCTGCAGTATTACAATTACTTGGCCTGCGAAGGCTTGACTACAACTGACTGGTTGACTGACTCACTGTTGGCTAACTCGTAACTCACTGTTGAATAGTGTTCGCTGCTCCTTATTTAGCCCCTTTACAGACAACACAGAAAACAGTTACTTAATAGGCACCACTGTTGCGTAACGTCGTGTTTACCGACTGCCTAGAAACAGTCGTTGCATGGACTTCCCGCCGTGTTTACAAAGGCGTTGCTGGGCAGCGCTGTCGGGAGTTGTTTACGGCTACGTAGCAACTGCGGCGTTAAACCGTTGTTTACTCGCTTTGCCTAGCAACCGCTGTGCTTGGACTCGACACACTTCGGATCCGCTCGGCACGTCACCGCTGGCGGGGAGGGAGGAGCGTCATCCATAATGCAACACGTCACAATATATACAAGACCTCTGTCAGTCTAGGCTCAGTGCGGCACACTATGCCCTATTTCTAGTAGCATTTGCTACCACGGCTGTCTAGAAACTTGAACGGTGGTATGCCTGACCGCCGCCAAGTTTAAGCCTCTTATGCTCTGTGTGTCGGGCTTCGCCTTGTCCGATGTTGCGAACATTCTCATTGTAATGATTTTGTATGACTTCTGCTGGTTGCCTGCATTATTTTGTTATATAGTCATACGTATAGTATGTATAGTATACGTATAGTATAGTCGTACATATAGTATACGTACGGGATTTTGAATGTCATGTGCAAATCGCGGACCTGTGTGCGCCTTGGAAAATTTCCAGTGGTGCGGAGAACCTTGTTTCGCCATCGCTGCAATTTCACTGGATGGGTGTCTGCTGCAAACTCCCAGGCGGGACTAGCATAAGTCATTACGGATCGAATAAGGGCTTTGGGGAGAGACAGTTTAATGTTAGCGCTCAATTGCTCAGTTTAGAATAGGGAATATACGCTAAAGAATGTTCTGAAGGACTTGGCTTCGATCATTTGTTTGTGCAAACTCGGCGGCCAGGGTTTGATCCCGGGGTAACTGTGACGTTTATATGTCACATGTTACAGGTGGTAATGACGCCATCCTCGGTGACGATAATTGAGCCACGACTGTGTCTTGGTGGGTACGCATCATGGCCAGGCATGCGTTAGGACACAGCTTTGGGACACCTCCTAGTGGTCCCACTCGGGCAACGACAGTCTTGGGTTTCTGGATCAATATGACCTTCCGGGACTGGCGGCTGAGTTCCCATAAAGGGCGATGGCTATATGACCGGAGCCTCCCACGCAACGGCAAAATGACTCTTGTGTGTCACTACGGTGTACCAGGGACGAATGCAGGAGAGCACCCTTATGGGGTAGCTTTGGCTATTGAGTTGCCTCCCTAGAGTACCGATAAGGTGCTGTAAGCCTTAGAGGTCAACACTCTAAAATGGTTTAACCAACCCATGTGGAGGGGTGGGAATGTGGGAGCTCATAAGCAACCCCCAGGGACGATTTTCTCATGGACGATGCCCTGGTCGCAACCTCATGACTAACTGGTGTCGCACTCCCATTTATCATCTGGGATACCCCTCTCCCCTGAACAGGCACACTTGGGCCTGGAGGCTTGTGAGGGTTGCATTTACTACAGGATCAAACCACTTAAGCCAAGGTGTGAGGCATCGTGCCGACGGCTGCATGGCATTGGGGCGGTAATTAGCCGGTGTCTTGAACGATCCCTTCGGGGCATCAGACAGCACCCCGTTGTATTTAGGCCTTCCAACCCTAAGGGGCTCTGCGGGTGGCGACCTTCCAAATTCCCAAAACTCGTGAGACCAAAATGAAAGGAACCAAAAACAAAATCTGTCGTAAAGACCTTACACTAAATAGGGATATACCTCCAAGGTTATCCCTACGAGAAATTCTTCAGCAGGTGGCTGGAAGCTCTGGTGAACCACTAAGGGAGCCCAGGTACAGCCAGCGAAGCTGCTGTTGAATTTTCAGCCAAAGGCAAGGACGTAACAGTGGTTCAAAACTTACCTGAGGCCAAACCAAAAAATCAATTGGTAGTCAGCAGTACTGGTATACCAATACAGGGGCGTTAGTACCTCTAGAATACCTGCAGTAGGAGAAGGATTAGAACACCTAATCTCTGGAGTAGGTGGACTGCGTCAAGCGAAGAAAGCCCTGTCTAGATCCGCTAGACGGAAGTTAAGAAAATCAAGAGATGGGCAAGCAAACCAGGAACTGGGGGCAGTCAGCAACAAGGAAATGTAGGCTCGTCCAAGCAGGGAGAACCACCCGGCACCCCTAAGAGGGCAAGGCCGGAGGGCAGTACCACTAAAGAAACGGCTAGAACTCTGAAGAGGGCCAGACACTCTAAGGGACCAGGGATTTACAAGGAGGCTCTGGCCAATATAAAGGTAGCTATCTTCAAGGAAACTTATTCTGAGGAGAAGATTACCGGAGATGACCAGAATTTCATTCTGGAAGCACCGGGAGAGGTGTTATGTAGGACTCCAAAGGGAGAACTACCACACCTGAAATCCTACAGACTAGTGGGAGGTTCACTTATTTATGCATGTGCCGACCATCGATCTGGTCAATGGCTCACCAAAGCCATTGAATACCACAGGCTGGACTCAGGGGCCAGGCTGAAGGCTACTGATGCCAGGAATTTGCCCAAGCCTGTTAAAATGGCTCTCTGGACTTGGGACAAAATTGCCCAGAATCAGGAAGAGCTGATGAAATGGATTGCAGAAGTCAATCCAGGACTTCATATGGAGAACTGGAGGGTACTCGATAAGCAATTTGAGTCGAAAGGCCAGAGACTTCTCCTATTCGTAGACTTGGGACTCTTATACCATTATACAGAGGACAGGTTACAAAATATTTACAGGACTTTCACAGGGGACTGTTAAGGTGCTGGATGATCCTGAAGTTCAGCTCCTAGCAGAACCTGTGACAGATACGGTCTCTGAGGGGAGAACGGGATGAGATACCCAACCCGCCGGATGACTGAAGCAAAGCGGGTCAGGGGACTCCTTCACATGGAACCTAGTCCAAGGATAGGGAGGGACATAAGATGGAAATTGACCCCTCCCAAATTGGAAGAGATCACTAACACCATGAAATTTCTTCAAATTAACCTACACCACAGCAAAGCTGCCACGGCAGCTCTGTGCCAACAGCTAGCTGAGGGTAAGGCAGATATAGCACTTACTCTGGAACCTTGATTATACAAGGGTCAAATAAGGGGATTAACTAACACAGGGGGAACACTTTACTCTGCTTTACCCAATAATAATGTAAGATCTTATGTTTATATAAAGAATCAAGTTAATTCCTTGTCTTTGCTGGAGCACTGTTCTGGGGATGCAGCAGCGTTAAGGATAACATACACGTATTGAAGAGGCAGCAGGGAGCTGATTATTGCTTCAGTCTACCTTCCATATGAATCAGATGAACCACCACCAACTAAGGAAATGAGGGACACCATAGAATGTTGCTGTAGCAGGAAAAAGCAATTCAATGGTGGGTGTGATGCCAACGCGCACCACATCTTGTGGGGGAGCACCGGCACTGACCCAAGGGGAGAGATCCTTTTGGAATATCTGGTGAGTTCGAACCTGAATATTCTAAACCATGGTAATGAACCTACCTTTGTAGTTTGCAATAGGAAGGAGGTTATTGATTTGACACTAGGGACAAGTAACACAGGAAACCTGGTAAAAAATTGGCATTTTTCTGATGAGCCGTCCCTATCGGATCACAGATATATATGCTTACAAATAAGTAATATTACAGTAGATCAAGCTACTTGGGGTATCTCAAAAGAACAAATTGGGAGCCTTACAAAGACAACCTAAAGGTAAATTTGGATACCATCTGGCGAAATATACGTAAAATAAAAGATGTTTATCGGTCCGTTGACCAGTTGCAATGGGTTCCTATCTCGTTCTTTATATATATTCAAACAGAAAGGGAGACAATGAACGAATTATTCAGCGTAGATTTTCCTGATTCAAAATTGATTGATAATTTGGACGATGGACAGGGTCAGAAAAAACTGGACACTTGCCAAAGCAAGACGAATAGGACAGACTGGAACTTGGCCAAAGTCATAATTAACCAGTCAAGAATCAGATGGACACTGAATACCATTAGATCATTTAAGTCAGCGGGAACAGATGGAATTGCACCGGCACTTATGCAGCAAGGGGAGGAACTCTTAGTTCCACACCTATGCCGCATATATAGAGCCTTCACGGCATATGGTTTCATCCCCATTGCCTGGAGGCAAGTTAAGTTGACGTTTATCCCAAATCCCGGGAAACTTGATGATACCGAGGCTAAGGCTTATTATCCTATCAGCCCGTCATCTTTCTTGTTGAAAACAATGGAGAAAATAGTGGATAGGCATATCAGGGACGGGGCTTTGAGGACATATCCTCTACACCGAAACCAGCATGCCTACCAAACAGGTAAATCTACCGAAAGCGCACTACACAATGTGGTAACCCGCATAGAAAGTGCAATTGAACACGAGGATTAGCATTCAGTTACCTGCCAAAATAGTCATACGTCTAAAGCTTAAATGCTCAGTGATGTCAGCATCACTCCAGGCTCTGTCTGGAGATTTATAAACGGCTGCAAACAGTACTTCACTTATACCAGTTGGTATGCAGACCCCTGTCGCTTCTACTGAAACAAGGGATGATAGGTCTACATGGCTATGGGGAATGCCTTTTCTAACTGAAACGGCAGTTCCGCCTTTCTGCCCGAGTGGCGGTCGATTCTATAAACGTGGTAATTTGGAATAAAAATCCTCTCATGAGGTTTCAGATGTGTGTCTGAAAACAGAGCGACATCTACATGCAGGTCTTGCAGCTGTTTACTGAGCTCATGGCGCTGCCTCCCAATGCCGTTCGCATTGAATGCTATGATTTTGAGGGGCATATGAAATCTAGTGGCCATTTTGTTCCATGAGATTTAATAAAATTTTAGTAATGGTCACTATTTTGTCCGCCTCAGACACTGCACCATTGGACTCTGTCATTATTTGCTGTACTACAGTCACTACTCTCAACATGTTGTCGAGACTTTGACTGTTTACATGAGGAGCCTGAACTGACTGACCTGTTTCTTTCTGCAGTGCAGGAGCCGGTACAATCTGCTTCCTTGTTGTAGGTGGAGTCACCGGAACATGGAATTCCTGAGGTTGCTCTTGCTGCTGTCCTGCTTCTCCTCGGAATGCCGCCGCGAAGGAGTGACCTGGGATGACGATGTTTAAAGAGAACACTCGCCCCGTGGTAGTTTTGGGGGCTCTCTGTGCCTTCCTTTTCTGCTGCTCCTCCTTGGCATGTTTGCAACCCCGATAATTGGCGGGATACGGTTTATTCTCCCTCCGTCAACCGTCAGTTGCAGCAAGTTGGAGTGGAGGCAGAGTTTCCCTCTTCTGGACACTCCTTGTGTAGGTGGCCGCCTCCACACCAGAAACAGCGGGGAGGTTGTTTACAGTTAGCCCAGACGTGGCCGAACTGTTGACAGTTATGGCATTGAGTAAGTCCAGTCTGGACTCTATAATCCTCTACCTTGATGGATATGTGACACAGGCTTGGCAGACTGACGATTTCTTGTAATTTTGCCGTCCGCGGCAAGGTTATGAGGAACAAGGGAAGGTTCCTGGTTGTTTCTTCGGAAGGGTAACTGCGTGCTGTCGTCATTTGTTTGACGCTAACAACGTCGAAGCCGAGGTGTTCTAGACTTTCTGAAATATCCTGGGCAGGAGTATTGATGGGGAGGTGTCGGATTACTACCTTAACGGTCTTCAGGGATTTAAGGAAAAAGAGTAGTAAGCTGGGCTACTGTGTTGAAATGCGCTTTAACGGCTTGAATATCCGCCATGCATTTCGTGAGGACTCTCATTCTGCTCCTTGTGTTACTGAACCCGAAGTCGCCCTTGACCACGTTCTTCAGTAGCTTCTGCAACTGGAAGAGATTTACTGCTGATGTCAGTATTATTGGAGGCGGCCTACTTGCTTTGTCAGACACTGTCTACCCAGGTGTAGCGGCTTCTGCACTGGTGCTGTCCGTCTCCATGTGTGTCCTTAGGAGGACGAAGAAGTTGCGGGTGGCACTGCTATCTTAGAGGTAGGTGCGGCCTCGTTGGTACCGTGCCGCTAGCGCTGCCGGACTTCTTTGTAACCGTCCTCATGGGTGGAAGAGGACTTATTTGCCTCAGACGAAGCAGTTTGACTGCTCGCCTTCGCCACGGTCTTTAACTCCTGTAAGGCGACTGTTTATGTGCCATACAGGACACTAAACAGGGTCTTCCCTGTTAGGGCCTGGCAGTATTCCTCGCCGTTTTCGTCTGCCGCGTTGACGATGTATGACCACTTCTCACTGTCACCCACCGAAGTTGGAGTGTTCTCTGCCACGTCCTCGATGTCGCGGAGTACTTGAAGCAGCTGTTTCATCTGTGCATCTGAGTCGGGGAACTCGCGTACCAGCCGCTTGTACTGTGATCTTAGCGTTTGACGCTTCGTGGTCCAATGTGCCCGATATCCCGGCACTGGGGTGGCAGCGATATTTGGCACCACTGTTTGTGTCTTGTGTTCACTCACCTCAGTTTTCGAGGAACCACTATCCACAGTGAATATAAATAGTAATTCACTATCGCACACTCCTCTCTTCACTGTTCAACCACAACCGCTGCACTCAGCAACGTACAAAGACCTGAAGAACCGACTCTCGCCTTTTGATCGATCTCCGAACTTACACTGAATCGTGATCCAGTGACTACTATCAACCTAACCGTGTAACAATGATTGTCATCTCTCACGCAATAACTACCAGCGAAAGACCAAAAAGCGCAATTTCGTAACAATATGCATTAGCCATGGTACAAATATACGGAATGGTATGTCTGGAACAGGAGCTCTGAGCGAACCAATAAGAGTAAGGAGAACAATATAAGCAACAATATTGACCCTTTAAAACTCCGTTTTCCGAGGGAACATTGTAAAATTCCGTACATGTTTCTATCACAGACAGATGTATCGAACAAGCAGAAGTAATTCAGAATCATGTAAATGCAAAAGTTAGCAATGTAAAACAAGGAGAAGCCAGACACGAAAAAATGTTAAGATGCTTAACCTTGGCGGCGATCAAATTTTACGACCGTTGAAGTGGTAAGCTGCCGTTGTACCATAAGCCAAGCAAGATAAAATATTACCTACTTCGTAAAACCTGGTCTTATAGAGTTTTTATATATTTTGTATGTATTTGTCATGTAATATTGTAAATATCTCTTACGTATAATTGTAAATTTATGCATAATATACGTATTGTGCATTATTTAATGACAAAGACTATAACACTGGACAAGACACAAACTCATGCTTTCATGAGAGGGGTGTTCTGGGGCGATGTGTACCTTATATGTCACGCTCTTAAACTAAAGTACGGTCATGAGCCCCAGGAGGGTCCTGACACCAAGATAGCCTGACTCACATGTTTTCAGTCATAAGATGACTCGGACAGACTGGTAAAATATAAATACATGCCTGTGCATAACTAATTAACCACTACGCCATGAAGGCTTATGGGGGAGTGGATGTATAGATCCACATTTTCTTGACCCACTAGTTGGAGGTGAGTGATCATCGTCAAGCCCCTGCAGCTTTATCCCTGAGAAAGAGCCCCCGATACCCATTGGATAGGAGGCTGGGTAGGCCCCAGAGCCGATCTGGACGACGTGGAGAAGTGGAAAATTTTTACCCTACCGGCACTCGAAACTCCGACCCCTCGGTCGTGCAGCCCGTAGCCAGTGGCTTTACCGACAGAGCGACACGTAGAAATATGTTCGGTGTGAACCAATAGGAGGTAGAAGGAAGCCTGGTGAGAGAGCAAGGAAAGGCAGGGATAAGACAGGAAGCAAACGCGCCGAGAGAGTGTGCTACAGAAGCACTTAATTCGCATGGGCAGTCTTGCAGTGCAACTTCAAATGTTCGTAGGCTGATGGTGTGCTCGGTTGTCATGTATTGTAGTTATGTCTTATATACTACGAGTGTGTTGCGTTCTTTAAAATCATCAGTTGGATTATGTGAGTGTTTGGTTTTTGGTTCATTTGTCTAAGACGTTACTAAAGCTTCGTTAGGATCGTTAATTTTTTGTTCAAATAAACAAAAAATTTTAAAATTTGTGCGTACAAGTATTATGTTTATATATTATTCCATCCACCACAAAAAAATCACACAAACCTATGTCATACTGAACACCAACAACTTTCATATGCAACATAACTGCTTAACTCCAAAACAAGATTTTTGTACTCACAGATACAGTCCACATTACAACTCAAAAAACGACACAGTATTATAAACATTCATTTGTTTATTAGGTTATTTAATGACACTGTTTCAATTGCATAGTTTATATAATTTTCACTGTATGGGATGATGGTAGTGAATGTTGAAAAGTTATGGGTTTCTGTGAATTCTGTTGTATTATATTTCAGTGTAGTTTCCTGGCATGCGCATAGATAGACTGTAAATAACCATGACAAACTGTGTAGTCAGGATTCGCTGTGGCTTCTCAGTACTTCGTACAGTAAGGTAAAGGCAAATTTGTCCCTGTGTTTTATTAGCACCGCGTCATGGATACTTATGGACGAGTGCAATTATAGCGCCATCATTGTTGACTTCTGCATCAGATGGCGGTGAGTGGTCAGCTTCCCGCTCCGGCCGCATTACTACCGGAGAAAGAGTCCCGGCGCCCAGTCTATAGGAGGAGACTGGGTGGACCCCAGAGACAGAAACGATTCCAGGGCCTTTCATCCCATAGCTCTTCGTTATACCTTACTATCACGGTCTCAAGCATCCAAATATAAATCGAGACCGTGGTCAGAGTTCCTGGCTACAGATTCAGAGGTCCCGGGTTCGATTCCCGACACTACCAGATATTCTGAGAAGTATTTGGCCTGGAGCGGGGTCCACTCAGCCTGGTGAGGATAGCTGAGGAGCTATTTCAAGGAAATAGAGGCTCCGGTCAGGAAAACCGAGATTGACGGCCATGGGGATTCGTTGCGCTTATCACGCGACACTCTCTATCCGCTAAGTCGGCACTACGCCGAGAAGCGGCCGTCGCTTGGTCGGTATATTTCGCTTGCGGACTTCAGGACAGGGAGTTTGATTTTTACCGCTTTACCAGATATTCTGTTCCATTAATGCGCTGATGATGGTTTTTTTTTCCATTCGGACACACGGTCACTTGCTTTTGCAGAGAAAAGGAGATTGCTTGATATTCTGCTGGGTGGCTGCTACATCTCAATGATTGTAAAGGCTAATCGTCTTCCTCGACTGGTCTTGCTCAAGAATGAATGATGCCTGTCACACGAGGCCATGAAATGTAAAGTGTTGTAACCCCTCATTGAATAACCGCAAGGCCAATGACTTTGCTTGACTTTTGAAGCGATCTTTAAAATGAGTGGCTTACTTTAGGGACGGGGGCACTATGATACAAGCCGGAATGTCGCAGGTTCGAGTCCCGATGAGGTGGTTTTTTCTTTTTCAATTTACATAATCCTTCCAACCTCACTATGGCCATGGTGTCTACTCAGCCTCTAACAGAAATGAGTACCAGGAATCTTCCTGGGGTGTAAAGGGCGACCGGCGCTTAAGGCTGACAACCTTACTGCCAAATTACTGCCGAGTGTCTAGAGAAAATATGGAGCCTCGACGTCTCACAACCCTATGGGCCTTCAAGGCCTATTACAGAGGTAATTTTGCCTTTACTTTCAGGACGGATAGAGAAATACGAGTATGCAAATGAACTTGGTGGTTAGGTGATTAGGTGATTTAAAGATAAAATCCGTTCTGGGCGTAGTTAATCACTTCACCGTGAAGACGTTTGGGGAAACTGGATATATGGATCCTTTTTTTCTTTTGTGGTGCTATAAGTCAGTTAGGCTTAACGTGGGTTCGAACTGCCAATGTATCAAAATTTCATCTGCGATCGGTTCTTTGTGAAACTCAAAACTCGAAATAAAATACATAAGATCCAGTGGTTTGTACATGGCGCTTGTGGTCTGCTATGAAGTTTTTTGGGTAAACAATTCGAATCTTTCTGGCGTTTCTGGCTACCGTAGCTGGTGTTTTGCATTGCTTTCATAAGTTTTCACTAGTGAATATCACTACAATATACGAATTGTGGCACGTCGGCCTCATGTGAAATCTTTACAACAAATATTATTCATGTACACCAGTTTTCATTTCATTAGAACCTCTGTAAAAATCATTATTAACAACAACGACGAAAGCAGCAACAAGAAACAGGACCATGGCCGCTTTAAGGATGTGGTGGTCCCTGGACAAAG